TTATGGACTTCTATGCAGCGGGTCATTCTAGACCCTAGGGGAAGGGGTACGGGGACATCTCCATGGTTGGAATTGTCAGAGAATGAATACAAATGCGGAAGAGATCATGCCCACATCTGGATATGTGGTAACAAGTGTCCCTCGACTCAAATACTACCTTTTGGGGATCTAGTGAATGACATTGCCTGGTCACATTTCTTAAGAGATACGTGTGCCAGAAGGTCATATATCCATGAATAGGATTCAAGAAGTTTCTCTTTGTCTTTGCTATTTCATCTTCATCTTTTAGTTCAAGCTCCACCAACTTGAACTGATTTCATGAAAATAATTTGTTTTAATTTAACTATTTTATTTTGGGGAATTTCATATATGGATACTATATTTATACAATTTCCAGTCCTCTCTCTCCCAAGTCAATCTCTTCTCATGCCTCCCTTCTCAGATTCGTGGCTTCCTCAATTTTTATTACACACACACACACACACACACACACACACACACACACACACACACACACACACCCACCCCTTACTGGGGCCAGTAAGCATTGTTTGTGAAGAATTTTTACTTAGTTTGTTCATACCTGCCTCCTCTGTGAAGACTGTGCTTGGCACAGCACAAGTTCCCAATAAACATTTACTGAGTGAATACATTGTAAAACTTTCACACACACAGACAGACTGCTCTAGTGAATTTGCTGGTTCATCTGGAAGCAACGTCAGAATAAAATCAACGTGGGTATGTGATGGGCATCTGTGATATTTTCCCTGTACTGCAAGGCTTGGTGTCCCAGTTTGGAAGGAGGGTGGGGAAATCTCCTTGCTGGACAGTCTCAGATCGAAACTGCTGGAAACAAAGGCCGGTGAAAGACTAGTATATTCTTAAAGTAAAAACAGCAACTGGAAAGAGAAAAAAGGTTGGCTGTGCTGGAAGATGACTGAAAACTGAAAAATTTTAAAATAATTCAATCATCAACACCCACTAACCTTTCTGAATTCTCTTTCAGTAAGACTCTTTGAAGTGTCTTGCTGCCTGACCGTCATTTCCGTTGGCAACACCAGAGCAATTGAAATGTCAATTGCTTCTTGGAGGAATCACTCCTCTATTTTCTTTCTTTTTCTTTCTTTCTTTCTTTCTTTCTTTCTTTCTTTCTTTCTTTCTTTCTTTCTTTCTTTCTTTCTTTCTCTCTCTCTCTCTCTCTCTCTCTCTCTCTCTCTCTCTCTCTCTCTCTCTCTCCTTCCTTCCTTCTTTCTTTCTCTTTTCTTTTCTTTCCTTTTTTGGAAAAGAACTGTAGAGAAGCGCCTATCCTCACATGCTGCCATCGTTCACAGAGACAATATTTCCCATGGACTCCCCATGCCATGCTTCTCAGACACCCCCTTGCCATATGCCCACTTGGGCAGCCAGCTGATAAATGGACTCCTTCATCCTTTCTAATCCACAGTTGGAAGGCATCCCTCACAGTTCATGTGTCGGGCCCCCAATCACCCATGGGACAGCACTGCATGTGGGGCTGCACATGGGGCCTAGGGAGCAGTGACCAAATGCCATCAGCCTGGGTGCAGAACTGCTGTAAAGGTGAACGTGGCTCCTATAGCCTTTTGCTTTTTGTCCTCTGTCTTCAGCCGTGGGACAGCCCTCACCTTTTGCTAGTACGGGGCATGTTCTTCAATGTTTTACTCTCAGATGTCTCACTCTCAGAAACTGGGAAAGAAAGGTCTGTGGTTTCTGAATTATCCAGCCTGTGTTCTTCTGGCTGAGATAGATAAGGGCCTGTTAAATGCATCCTTTCCCCAGGGACTTTAAACATATGACATTGAACTAATATTAGTCAACTAACTCTTGATGACTTTTCTCTATGGAAATACCTTATAGATCCCAGAATTTCACAATGTAAAGAGGTTCCTATATTCCAGACAGTCCTATGTGAGTTCCACACATGTGCTCTTAGCTAAAGTGCAAAGATTGCAGTTCAATCTGCCCCCAAATTTCTGGGTTTAACCTGGGATTTCTTAGTACTCTGCTCTTCATGAATCAATTTGCTTTGATGCCTAGCTTTCAACATCAAAGGGAACAGAATCTAATTTCAAGGTGAAGGAAAGAGGAAAATAATGGGTGGTCCTCTACATCGAAACAGCACCAAACAACTGGTTTGATCTCATGAAATAAAAGTAAGTGAACTCGATGTTTTAAACCGTCATTTCTCACACTTTTTCTTTCCTCTTTCCATTCCCATTTCTGTGGGGGTTCTTAGACTATCTCATCCCACAATCCTTCTCCTGTCCCTTTCTTTATGGCAGAGACACAGCAGTACTGCCCCTCAATCCATCTTGGTCCCCAGGAGAAGAATTCCTGGTGTCAATACACACAGCTTTCTGCTCTGCTATCATCCTTTCCTGTATGAGTCAGGTCTTCACTGCCATCTGGATGTCCCCTGGGTTCCATAGGCATCCTTCTGGGACAATCAGATCTGACAGCAGGATCATATCTGACTGGTCACTGGATTCAAAATACCCCATCCTCCAGAAAAGAGTATGTGGTGCAAATCCTTGGAGGCAGATGATTTTATTGAGAAATGTAATTGTTGATAACCAATTAATCGAATAATTCAGTCACCAAATTTATTTGTTTAAATCTTACATTTGAGTTGAACAATGCTTATTTGGTCTTTACCACATCATTTTAAGGGCAAAGAGACCCCAATTTTCTACTCCAACTGGAAACAGAAGGAATAAGAGAAATGGAACCTGGGGGCACATATCAAGAATAGATTTTTGAAAACAGATTTCTTCTTAATATATTATTCATTAATAAATGTATTCATAGGAAGAATATATTTATAAGGATCTGAATATTCAAGAATCTATTAGCAAACATGTTCTTCATGCATATATTTATAAGAAAAGCAGTTTTAAGATGAATAGATTTATAATAGAGTATATTCACGAAGAACATATCCTCAAATATTAAGAATATATTTGCAGGAACATTTCACATGCAAAATGATTATTTGTCAGTTCCCTCTAAGAGTTGCATCCACAAATGAAGAATTTCCTAAGATGAATGTGAAAAAGATTGGTCTTTGGCTGGAAGTGAATATAGTTTGAGATCAAGCAAATGCTTGAAGGTGCCAGACCCCATTCAAACCCAGGTCTTGCTCCACAGTCCAGGTGACCTTACCGTACTTTAGTGACCCTACCTCTGATTCATAGGGCCTGGGGGAACTCTGGACAAAGCTGAGTTGTCTTAGAAATCCCAGAATGTTTGACAGTCATCATTTGGCAAGAGAGAGCTAGCATTACCCAGAAGCCCATGCTATCATGGGGTCCACCTCTGGGGCTGCCCTTCGAGGGGAGTCTATGAAGTCAGGTGTCTAATCCAAGAGGGGAGGTGTGTAGAAATGGTTAAGGATAGGTTTCTCTCTGAATGTTCTAGTGTTATTGTAAGTGAGAAATTTATTTTTCTGAAATTACAGCCACTCTGAGAGTACTGTGTGAGAAGTCCTGAGCTCCCTTAGGATTCTTGCTAATGATCTAATTGTTAGCACCATGATGTGGCCTTGTGCTGTGTTGTACAAATGGTCCTGTGGGGGAACTCTTTCTAATAACATAGATGCTTGTATTTCTTGGAGTCCTGTCGACAATTTGGCTATTTTCTTCCTGACTCAAAGGCAGATACTAGGTGAGAATTTGGAGGAGAGGCTGTAGGGAGTAGGCCCTTGTATTTCTTGGAGTCCTGTTGACAATTTGGCTGTTTTCTTCCTGACTCAAAGGCAGAGACTAGGTGTAGGGAGTAGGGCCTGCACTTGGGGTTTTCTGAATACTCTGTCATGCCTGACACCATGGTCTGGAACCCTCTTGATAGGATAAAATATTTCTGTTTTTAGTATTTCAGGTCATTCTGGAGAGTACAGGCAGGCATGTGTGGATGGAGGGAAAAAAATGCCTTGAACGGAAGGAACTTACAGTTTTCCGTAGCAAGTTTATTCCACTGCCGACATAAAGAAATAGCTGTCACTTTGCAGACACCCATTCTGCTTTATATACCAACATCTTATGTGTTGCTTACATTTACATACATACATATATTCTCCAAATCAAAATTAAAAACAAATTCCCCATGTAGGCACCATTTTCCACTTTATGGAGTGTTACCCTCATCTAGGTGGACGGAAAGCTGGAATTTGATTGTCTTGCTTCATTCGTTGACACAGCAGACAGCTGTATGTCCACTAAGAGCCAGACATAACATTCAGCACAGGGAGTCAGTAATAAACATGACTGTCTTAGGCTATCTACACCTCTTCCAGAGAGACCAGAAGAGTTAAAGATGTAGCAATACCACTGAAGAGTATCATATAATAGAAACGGAGCTACTGGTTGCCATGGGGTCACCTACAGTGAAGATTCAAGAAAGACTACTGAGATACTGAGCTCACTATGAAGCAGGATGTACCATGATGGAGGGTACCCACCAATAAGAGCATGGTGAACTTAGAAGAAAGAAGTCCAGTCTAAATCTAGCATGAGACGTCAAAGAGAGAGAGGACAGAAGGGATGAGCCGGGCTGGATCATAGAGTACCTGTAGAATACTGGACCTGCAGAGAGTAGCATGTGAGAACTGACTGTGTACCTCTCCTTCTACCCCAGTGATGCTGTGGTGGTAGAATTTACACCACAGGAATAGGCATACTCAGGTGACTGACTTCATGGCTTGGTTAGCTACTTCAGTGGTGGCATTTTCTCAGGTGGAGGGATATGAGTTTCCTTTGTGGAGATGCTGAGATTGGGTATATAGATAGATCTAGATCTATCTATACCTGATCTCACTGTCTTCCAGGAAAGATAGTTCAACCCCAGTTCCACTTGCTGTCATTTCTTCTATTCTGGGCATTACTGATGAATTATCCTTGTAGCAAGTATCTGAGCTACAAGTCTCAGGTCTTCTATAAAATGAGCAATTATAAAGCCTGTATTAATTAAAAAGCTTTCCAACTTAGTCTCTCACACTATTAATATCTTAACTGTTTCCCTAAGAGAACACAGCAGTCAAAACCAGCAAGTTCCTCTGCTGGCCAATGCAGACAATTACCTCTGTTCTTCCACAGCTGAGGAAAAGAAACAGACCCCAGACTGTAAGGCAGGCACAGGCTATGATCACACATCCAGTAAGACAAAGAGAGGCTGCTTTTTATGTATTTATTAACATTTAAAATATATTAAAACTTTAACAGTAGAAGCAGGAATTTTTATTGCATGTGGAAGTCTCCAAAAAAAGAGAAAAACAAAACATCACAGAAACAAATTTACATCACCTGATAGTATATTAAATTTACGTTTAGGTAAGCATTTAAAGAATGCAATATATATGCTTTCAAGTTTTTTTCTTCTTCAGTGACCTAAAGTTAAAGAAATTCACTGGGCAGAATCAACTTCGTTAAATTGAGAATGTTACTAATGTAGCAGAAAGATGTTGTCAGATCTGCTTCTTTCTCATGGCTTCCCCTTTGGTTCCCACCCCTAAAGGATGAGTCTTGCTTCCAGGAAGGCAGTTGTAGATGCTACTATGTGAAAGAGCAGAAACAGTTGTAGACTTGGGGTTCTTCTTTTTCATAATTATGACGTGATCTGTTCACAGCTCCAACCTCAGACACACTCACTTCTAAAACATGACGGAAGTCTGAGAACGGGTCAGAAGAATTCAGCCAAACAACAGATCCTGAACTGCTCTCTGGAGGTCCTCCGCCCTGCTGCCATGCCTCTGGAGATGAAACCAGAACCTGACACACTTGCTCCAGCATCAACAGATGAGGGAGGAGTTCGTTCTGAAGTTTGTTTCATCAGAGTGGGAACAGAAAGGAGTTCATTCAAGTGGGTCATTGGCCAATGCCGTTGTTAGAACAAACTCTGGAGACAGCCCTGATGGCAGGTCCTCTGGTGGACCTCATCTGGTTCCTGAAATGCCCAACTACTCTGCTGCTACTTCTAGGCACACTCCTCGGAGTAGGCTCCGGGGCACCTTGGAACCATAACCAAGGAATGGTGAAAGGAATAAAAGTGAGCATTAAGAAAACAATGTGCATATTAGCACTTTATAAAAGATTCATACTTTCCTGAGTTAAGGGCACAGAAACCTCAGGAGTCTTCTTGGAAGCACCAGGCTCCCATCTCTTAGACTCGCCACACCTAGATGATAGATGTGAGCTGTGCTTGGATGTGTTTGTGTTGAACGCATTAATGATGGATTAATGAATTGATTATCTGGCATTTTACCACTTGAGACACTTAACGCTTGCAGAATGGAGAGTGGTTCTCTCTCCCTCCCTCTCTCTCTCTCTCTCTCTCTCTCTCTCTCTCTCTCTCTCTCTCTCTCTCCTCCCCCCCTCTCTCTCTCTCGAGGGGGGGGGGTAGAGGACAGACATGTGGACAGCTTCTTCAGTCTGTCTGTTTGTTGCAGTAAGGATGGCACCCAAACCAACACTTGGACCTAACTAAGTGTCTGAGTCATTGGCATTTCACCATTTGCCAAAGTCTTCCATACACCTAAACCAAACACTTTAAAGGGTATGACCATGGGGACATTGGCGGCCAACCATGTTTCCGAAGGCACAAGTCCCAGTATCAGAGGATGTTCAGGAGCACGTTTATCTCCTGGCTTCTGGGCCCGAGGCAACATCATCTTCAGTGACATCCTGGGAGTTCCTGAACATCAGGATAGAATTATAAATCTTCAGTGCTGGGCCCAGCTTGATCTTCATCACTTTAACGATGTCTGCCTGGGTCAGAAGCAGGAAGGCTTTGCCATCTATCTGCTGTGAATAAATAAACAATCACAAATATAATTATTCCACACTGGAGCTTGTTTATCCACCAGTAGCATTTCCTGGGTACAGTGTGTGACACTAAATCCATGTGGCCTTGCTAGAGTCACCCCACCCCCATTTGACTCAAGGCAGATCAACAACATTGTGCTCACAGAATAAAGGAGTCAAATTAAATTAGAAGGTTCTCAGTTTGTTAAATATAGACTCAATACATTAATTTGTGCCAGCACAGACTTCCATTGTTATGTTTCAACATTTTTTTTTGGCCTGAATGTACCAAGAGCTTTCAAAGTACCACCAAGTAAATCTCCAGAGAGTAAGGCACCATGTGCAGGCTCTGTCTGGTATCACTGAGGGTGTGGAACACTGGAAACAACCTCATGTTGTAGCAACAGAAGGGAAAAAATTGTAATTTAGCTGCAGTGTGGGATGCTACACAACACAACCCCTTAACACGTGTTTCAAAGAAACATTCTGTGATCTGTGCAATTTCACAAATCGTTAAGCAGTCATATATATTATGACAACAAAGATCTTCTAGTTTTTAAAAATAAAACTGTATGAACACATATTTGAAATATCAGAAACCCTGGGTCATTGTAGGACTCAGGGGGAAGAAGTAGCTGCGGCTGAACCTGATGACCTGAGTTTAACCTCTAGAACCCACAGTGGAGCGACAGAAAAGACACCTGACATTGTCCTCTGACCTCTACATACATGCTGCAGCATGTGTCCACACTGACACACATGCACACCATACATACAAAATGATACTAAAATATTTGAAACCTTGACTCCCCAATAGCAAAAGAAGTTATCTTTGGCTATCAGAATAGTGATTTGTCTGAATTTTATCCCTTTAGCTTTTCAATAACTTCATTTCCTTTCTGTAACAAAACCCACTAAACAGAAAAAACATGTAACATTATCTCATTTATTAATTTTTAGAAACAATATGAGAATGATTCTTGGCTCCAGTCCAAATTTGGGAGTGATGGATGTATTGATGACCTTCATTGTGGTAATCATGTGCATATGGTACTTGCATAGATGTGTATAAAACACCATGTTGTATACTTTGAGTATGCTCGATCCTCATTTGACAGTTAAATGTTTTTTAAGTTAGGAAAGCATGTGGCTACATGTGGGACAGCTTTCCTGAGTCATGTGATGATGAATAGTCACCATGTAGACTGTGTTGGTTCTCAGCTTCTTGGAGGCCTAGGGACCTCAGAGCTTGTCCTTGTGGACTGCTTGGGGGCACCTGTCCCTATATGATATACATACTTTATATAGTTACCTAGGTCAGCTGACTCTTGGCTGTAGAACCAGAGACTGGGATGAAAGGGTTTTCTATGGCAATCCCTCTGTGAACCAGAGCCATGCACGCAAACCCCGACCCCCCCAACCCAACAGCGTGAACCTCTTACAGTCAATGCCTCCTTGACTGTGGTGATCCTTTTGATGGAAGGATGACGTACTTGGGGTTCTTGGTTAGGCTTTTTAAACACTTATAAAAGCTCATAAAAATACCTCTATGATGTATTATCTGATGAAGACACAGCCATTTAAGAGAATAAAATGCTTTTCTGGGGATCAAATCCCTGTTCTCCGAGGCAGGGAAGAGTCATTACACCTCTTTCCCCACCTTGACCTGGGTTCAGCACCTGCATTTTCAGGCAAAAAGCACTGGCCAGGCATCAGTTGTCATGAAAATGAGGCAGTGATGGTGAAGAAGACAGTGAGCGTGTGTGGAGATGCAGGAATCTGCTATAATCTACCGTACGTGTTTTACTCTCCTGATGATCCTGTGAGGTAGATGAGGAAACCTGGAATGTCCAGTGTAAAGATGTTCCCAGTGTCACACAGCTTCTCAGAGGCAAAGCTGGGGTCCCAGGCAGTGCCTCGTGGACCCAGAGGAGAGGGTCCTCCCTATATTGCTTACTAAGGCCCAATTGGTTGGTTTACTTTAGCGGTCCCATCCCGTAAGTCTGTGTGTTTTAGATAGGGAGGAGCAAGGGGGTTCCAGTGATTTTCCCACAGGGGTCAGCAGGTATCGGGCTTGAAAACTCCCAGAAAGGGTTTTATATTTATCATACAGAAAGACTCAGAGACAAACTAGGTCTTGTGGATTGCTAACGAAGAGAACAGGCTGTGTGCAAGCCTGGGTAAGGTCTGCCCAAGCTGTGTTGCACTCCGGTGGAACCACAAAAACACTGAGCTTTGTTGGATGGTATCAAAAAGCTGCAGGACTCTGAGGGTCTCAGAACCCAGGACCTCAAGAAGATGTCCCTTGAATCGTGTAAGCTCTGAACTCAAAGGGGATGTCATGCTGTAAACATTCCCTAGGATCTAAGTTTCCTGGAGCACTAATTAAAGCTGTAGAATCTTCCGAGAGGGGAGTCTACAACACTGCCCCTTCCCACTGTTCCTGGACTTCCTGAGGATGGCCTCTAAGGTAAACCACCTCTACAGTGTTCAGAGGACAAAGGACCTCTGTAAGAAGCTCAATGCAGTGCAGGCTTGTAGCGGTCACGTGATAGATAATCGTCATCATTATTTTATCATCTACAGTAGATCCCGGTATTTTTTGCAGCCCCTGGGATTATGGATTCTGGCTTTTGAAAAATGCTAAGCAATTGAGGACACGACCAACCATGAGGAAGCAGGAAGCAGCAATGCCACACAAGGATGCTTCTTACATCCATTCTGAAGCAGGTGGAGGCAGGGGGATGGGCTGGTCTCACTCTCACTGTAAAGCAGAGAATTCATCCCTCCCCCCAAGGCTCCCTAAAGTCACCAACATGAAGCCTTCACAGCTCCCATAGACACTAATTATCTAATGCACCTACTCTCCCACCCAATGATCTGAGCAGAGCACCCAGCATCCTATGACAGTAAGGGTAAGGATGGCCAAGCACAAGCTCCACTGCTGGGTTTTTCTGTGCTCCCTTTCTCTCGCCTCCTCCATCCAACTGCTCTTATTTACACTTAAGGAGATAGAAGCAAAGCACTCCTGGGCCTAGCTAGAAGTACAAAAATATATCTAATTTTTCCATTTATTACCTCTTTCTTGAAGCACTTGGCATGTTCTTCACAGCCCAGAAGAGACTGTACAAACTCAGCCACCTACAACACAGGATGAAAAGCTAAATTTTAAAACACGCACCTGAAATACTTTGAAGGTTGAAGTAACTCGCTGTGTGAATGAAACGTGCTCCAAGTCCCAAACGCTTGCAATTTAAACAGTCACTATCAAATCATACAACCTTTTATCCCCCTCGCTCATTAGCTGTGTTCTGCCCCCAGTGTCTTTTCTGTCCATTTATCACCAGGCTGGCCTACACAGGGTATGTTGATAAGGGGACAGTGATGACCAAATCTGTATAGGGCTCTGGCACTGGGAAGACTTCCAATATGTGGTCCTCCTAATCATGTGGGGCTGGTGGCTGTGGAGAGTGGTTATCATAGGGCCATCAGGATGCTAGGAACATCTTGCTTACAGGTACTCCGAAATAGCAAGTTCCCCCTTTAAGCATCACTGGGGGAGGCTCTAGCATACCTCTCCAGGTACCTGGCAACCATGGAAACTCCATGCATCATGCTGAACTAGATTCTCACATAAATGATGATAAAAGCCCAGAGAGGCTTAACAACTTAATAGTCCTACTCAGCCAGTTATCAGCAGAGAATTTGGAACTCAGGCTGCCTATTCCCAAGTCCTGAGTTCTGGAAATCACTCTCTTCAACTTTCCCCTCTTACCTGATGACTCATCTCCTTCTACACACATATAACACACACATATGCACACCACATACACACACACACACACCACACATACATACACACACCACATACACACCACACACATACACACAAACATACACCACACACACATGCACACCACACACACACACACACACACACACACACACACACACACACACACACACACTAATTTCCGTGTAGTGAGATAGCTTGAAGACCTGACTTACAGTGCAGATAGCCACCAACTGTCCCCAACAGACACTGCCTGTTCAGATAAGATGAAGTGTGGGCTGGATAAGTGGATGTTATGATGTTTTGACAGATCTAGCATGGCTGTGGCATAGGCTGGCCCCAAGCTGGGGTTGGAGTACATGGGTTCTTGGGGTTAGGAGCTTAGGGGAACTGGCTTATTTTCCCTTGCTACCTCCTGGTTCGACTTGATGGTGAGCACCAGCCTGTCCCTTTCATGAGAAGCTCTGGAGACAGCTGAAGAGCACAGGTCCTTATACCAACATCTGCCCTGTCACTAACTCCTGAGAGCACTTACTCCCTCCAAGACTCTCCAGAGATCAGTGGACCCTGTTCCCCTCAGGACAGAAATGGACACCAAGAGTTGAGATGACTATTCTTGGGGCTCAGAATAGTGAGGACCATCACCCAGAAGATGCACCTGTGTTCTCCTGGCCACATTTAGTCTGTGGGAACTCAAAAAGTTCAGCATATTTTCTTTTGGGGGACACTCGGCATGTGCTCAGTGTCTGCCTTCCTCAACCCATCTCTACAAGTCTAGCTCAGCAAAATTAATTTGTGATTATCCTTCTAAGGTGGAAGGGAGGTTGTGAATTTTAGGAAGCTTCCCTAAGCATCCAGCAGGCTGCCACGAACAAACATCCCACTGTGGGAAGACTTCGGTGCAAGTGTGATCAGACTAGTGGTCCACGGAAAGCCCCATGCTCCCAGAGGGCACTGGTGGAGGAATCTTTGTCAGTTTGCAGACAATTAATATGGGTGGTTTTCCTATGAATAGGAAGCATGGGACATACGTTGGGTATCGACGGGGAATTGATGAAAGCTATGAAAGGCCACTGTTCAAGTCACATTGGTGGGAAACTGGGGCAAGTGTCAGCAGTGGTAGAGGTGGCTGAAGTTGGGTCTCTAGAGCCCAGGACTTTAACACATCTGAGTCCTTCCCTAAGCTACTCTCTTGGCTGAAAACATTGACCATGACTATGTCTGAGGGCTTTGTGATGGGCACACCTCTGAATGGGACTGAAGTATTGTTGAGTCTAAGGCTCAGGTCACAGAGAGGAAGGAAAGGAGAATGTCACATAAGGCACAGCTTGCCCGTCACTATAATAAGCATGTCACATGTGTGACCTGTAGGAGAGATGCAAAGGCATTTGGATGGAAAGACTGAAGCTCGGGGAAAGTCAGGGAAGGATCCTGGAGGAGAGGCTCCTTTGATACACACAGTATTTCCTGGGATTAAAATGGTTGACAGATGTGAGATTCCCAGGAGCCAGCCCAGAAACAGGACAGGTATGAGCAACAGTAAAGAGTCTGAAGAGCAGAAGATGAATGGGGAAAAGCAAGGTGGTGTGGTCTCTGGGGATAGATTTGTGCTTCTAGCAGCCGGCAGCCAGGAGCCCGAAGTCCAGGTTCTCAGCTTGGCCACACATCACCATCTCCTGCAGAGCTTGCAGCCTGACTGGAACATGGACTCAGCCATCGAGATTACAAATGAATGGAGTTGGACTGGGTCCAAGCACTGGGCATTTATTTTCAGAGCTCAGAGAGGATGCTGTTGTGCAGTGAGGGCTGGTACCACAAGGCCAGGGAGAGCTGGAGAGGTGAGCCTTCAGTGTCTTCCTGGACTCCTGAGGCCACTGTCAGTGGGTAGGGCATCACCTACAGCTAATAGAAAGCATGAAGGTCTGCAGATCTGGCTGCTGAGGGAGGAGGTGGTACAGAAGTCAATTCCTTCTGACTAGACAGTCTGGGAATGGAGGGTTTCTCAGTCTCAGCTCCATGAATTCCTTGGGATAGGCAATTCTGCTGTAGAGTGCTTCTCTATACTGTGGGGCATTTGCTCACACCCCTGGCCTCTAATCCCTAGCTGTGAATAGCAATGTTGCCTTCTAGCTGTGACATCCAAAAGGTCTTTCCATAGGCTGTCAAAGGCCCCTTGGGGATAGATCTAATGCTTGGAGTGACTCTTCCACTGGAAGAATCACTCAATATCATGGGAGGAAAAAAAAAGGTTGACCAGGACTTGGTTCAAGACCAAAGTTTTGCTCTACCTCAGTCATGACCTCTGTGTGTGGAAAGCATGTCAGTCACAGGGACAGTGGGCCTCTTGTGACAAGCTGCAGCAGTTGGCTAAGACATCTTCTTACTCCTTGTGCCAAGAGCTGCTCACTGCAAAAAGGTGCCAAGTTGTGCTGATCATTTGCATATGTCACCGAGTCCCCCTCTGCCAGCATTACAAGGACTCCTTCCTCTTCTTCAGCATAGCTGACCAAGAACTCACCACCAACTGGAAAGGTAAACAGGGTTCTGATGGGGATAAATAACAGGTGAAACCAAAGCATGGGCAGAATGGAGCACGGGCTGCCGAGGGGTGACAATACCTGCTCCAGTGCCACTGTCACAGTTCCCTGGGGGCCCGGGCTCTCCACCTTCGCTCTCTGTATACAGAAGGGCATCTCTGCCTCCTGGGCCTCACCACCTGTCTCAGGGGCTCCACTTTTTGGAAAGATTCCTCCTCCTCCTCCTCCTCCTCCTCCTCCTCCTCCTTCTCTCTCTCTCTCTCTCTCTCTCTCTCTCTCTCTCTCTCTCTCTCTCTCTCTCTCTCTCTCTCTGTCTCTCTCTCTCTCTCTCTGATGGTAAAGAACAATGCCATGAAATCTCCTGAGGAAAAAGTCTTCGTCCAGATCTTAAAAACATCCAGAAGCCTTCTTCAGAATTATTAGTACTTCCTTTCCCTAAAAGTAAATTGTATGTTGAATTTTAACAAAACCTGTAGGCTTTGTTTGGCTACAGATTTTGCAAATGTAAGTGGTGAAATGTTTCCATACCATAGAATAATATGGAAGGCCTTCCTTTTCACTTTCCCATTCAAAGACCCTTTCTCCTACAAATGTATGATAAAATGGGGACTACTGCTCAGTGAGAGTGAACTCTCTGAGGGAAGAAACAGTTATAATTTGCAACTACCCCTCAAATGATAGCTGTGAGGTGGGTCTACTTTTCAAAGTAACAAGTACCCCGGGGAAACATTGTGGGGACCCAGACCATGGCCGACTCTGAAGAACACCCACGATGTGGGAAGTTGTTACATAGACTTGTGCCCTTGGCTCGGATCCTAGGGCACATCCCTGGTCTGGAGTTTGCTCTGTGAGTCCGTACTGTTAGCCATGGTTCTAGGGATCACCCTGGGCACAGGAACTGACAGGTGCCTGTTTTCCATGTTCTTCGGAGCGCACACTGTTCTGTACCGTGTCCCCAAACCCGGCTTTGTTTTGGAAGGGCTCCGAGCAAGTTAATTGTAGGCATGAGACAGCAGTCTGGGGACTAAGAAGGATGACTCTGCCTGGGCTCTTCTACCAGCCTCCGACTTTACCCAACTCACGTCCCCCCGTGACCTACTTTCCCCGGCTTCCTCTCTGGCACTCAGCATGCATCTCTTCTGCAGTGGGCTGTTTCTTCCATCTTCCCGAATGATGGTGCTCCTCTCTTGCTGAGCCTGGAGATGTGAGCTGGATCGGGCCGCCTGGAAATCCACTGGGGACTGTGTTTCCACTCTGACTCTCTTGAATTTTTTTTTTTTTTGGCAGAGTTTATTTGCCCTTTTTTGAAGGGTCCAATTGCAGAAGGCTGCTATGCTTAGCCAGCAGTACCCTGGGTTTTTCGAAACACTGCCTTCCTCCCGTGTAAAGCCTGCTTTGAAAGCGACTGCCACCTTTTATAGTTAATGAACTTTTAGGGAGCACTTGGTTGAGAGCAGGACAATTTATATGTGGTACTTTAAGTACCGTTTCAGAATGGAAGAGGTATAAGTGCCTGCATGTGAGCCAAACAAAACTCAGCTGTGCCTGGGATGGTAAATGTACACTCTACAGTGTATGAGGATAGGACCGAGCATTCACTCACTCATTCATTCATTCATTCACTCGCCACACAGGTGGCCAATCACCTACTCTGAGTACGAAGCTTTGATATGAAGATGTAAAAAAAAACAAACCTAAAAAAAAAAAAAGTTAGTCCTTATTCCAACCATCTTGTATTCTTATGCAGACTATGTGCCTGTCCCAGAGTGAGAAATACGGCTTCCACAGTAGATAATGTGTTCTCACACCCTCACCTCTAATGTAGTGTTACAAAACAATCACATTTATGACATATAATATATCGCCACGTGTTCTTGCCTTTCCTTTCATAGCCACTGAATCGACTTCACAGCCTCCCCACACTTTGCAGACAGTGCGGTGGCGGCAGAGACAGGTATGGTGACAACAGAGATAAAGCCGGCCCTCAGCTCTGTGGAGAGTGACAAAGGGCCCGAGCTGGCTTCTCTTCACAGGCAGCGTTATGTGGAGCAGAGGTCTCCCTCCCAGGCCAGGGTGGAGACAAAGGGGATCTTCTCTCTCTTCAGCTTCTGCTATAGATGCCCCATGCTGGATCTCACTGAATGGCACTTAACACAGGGTGCCTGAGTTCATTGTAGCATACCTTGTCCCTGGGGACTCCCCTCTATCATGTCCACTGGTAACAAAGCCCAGAAACAGCTCTCTTAATGCAGGTCAGACCTGGACTGCCTTTTCAAATGAACCCTCCCCGGTTGCCATTCTTGTTGTGGTGTCCAGAGCAACCTCACATCCTGTTGATAATGGTACCTACTGGTAACGGTACTTACTGAATGCCCCCACCCCACCATGCGGATCCCTTGAGAGAACTGCCTCATTTTCAAAGACACAGAACATACCACTAAACTCACATTTTAAATCCATCAAAGATCATGCTTGAGGGTATATTTCAGTGTTGGGGAAATGTGCATGGTGATTAGGGACCCAGAAATAAGTCTTGGCTGTTCTTTTTCTCAAGCGCATCTTACTAGTAGCTGTCAAGGCTGGGCTTTTGCAAGTCCTGTGAAGGGCATCTCTAGAATACATCCCTGTGGAAAGCATGGCTACAGGGCACCAGAAAGAGCCAGGGGCAGGGGTACTTGAGACAAGACACTTGGCCTCCCTGTGACTTTTCCACTAATCTAAAGGCCCTAACGTGTCTTCCTGCAGTGAGGGGCAGAGCATGCACATGCTCCATGACAGAGAATTCAGGGACTGGAATCACCTTCGTAACAAGCCTTTGTAGCACTTCAGCCTCTTTGCATTTTCATTAAAGGCTAAACTTGAACAGACCAGAGCCCTCCTTCCCCGTCACCTCTCCACTGTCTCGTGGTCCTGGCAGGGCTTCCGTTCTCTGGCTCCATCTCTCCTGAGAAGTAGACAAAAGCATCCCTTCCTCCATTATAAGAGACACTTAGGTATGCAAGCTTGCAGATCTCACATGGGACTCTCTGGTCCCCAGACTGACGGTCTCGGCACTACACGTTTTACTTCTTAGGGTAATAACTCGCAATATCTTGAAGGCCCGAGGTGTTTCTCAAAAAGCCCATGACTTGCTTCCTCTCGGAGCCTTTGTCCTATGGACTACTGACCACTGTGCAGGCCTGCCTCTCTGGAGCCTTCTGGATCCTCAGTTGACCCCTTCTCAATTCTTGGTTCCTCAGAGGCTGTCTCTGGACAACATTATGCTCTCAGGAAGCACTCCCCTCAAATCCTTGCCTACACCCTCTAATGGCAATACCTCACTTACCATCTATAACTGTATCACTCCATAGACTCTCACCCTGAATTCTTCATGACCCCTTAGAAAAGCCCCTTCAGTCTATTGCTACACTGGTCCTTCTTCTGACAGCATCTACACTGGTCCTTCCTCCAAAAGCACCACTGTTCTCCACTGTTCCAGAGACGCTTCCTGGCCTTGCAGATCTCAGGCTATTATCCTAATGAAGCATTTAGTCCTGAGACTATAAAAGGAATCACATTCGGCTCACTTTATTCTTCATCTTTTGTGTCTTGTCTACTTCCCTGTGCATTGAGTCTGATTTTAAAACAAGCACTGAAGTCAGATGTTTCTCACCACAGAACCCAGTCTAGACCCCCTGCCATTCTGGGGGGCTCCTAACCAACACAGTGGGCATCTTCCTTTCCTTGGTTTGGCTCTCTCTGAAGAAAATCATTCCCGTCTCCCTGAATCATCCTGCTTAGAAAGGGACTTTGTGCCCAAGAACCAAGCAGACTACAGCTTCTGACTGAGCCCGGGGCCATCCTCTCTAGTCACCCTTGCACACAGCCACTCTCCCCTTTTGTGGGTTAGCTTCCTCTATGTCCAGTGTGGGCACAGTAGGACAATGCCAGCTCAGGGCTGGGACTGACTACATGGCCCTAAGAAAGCCACTTAAGTTTTGGCCATCTCAATGTCTTTGTCTTTGTGCCTTGCCATCGTTATCCTAATATACATTTTTGACCATGTGAGGGTCATGAGCTGAGGGTCTATTGAGAGGGGAGGAGCCAATTCCAGCCTTACTTTCCAAATGGAAGAACATTAAATGACTAGCTTAGCGGTAGTAAGGAACTGCTTGTCAATTGGAACTCCCCATTTGCTCAGTGCCACTCACATATGATTTCATCATAAACACAGAAGGCTTTCATTCAGTTGCCTTGGTCATGAGCACACTTAGCAAACTTGCGCAATTCCCCAAGAAGGCACAAACCCAACTACTCTCTTAGGAACAGAACCCTGTTATTTCATTCTCCCCTGTATTCTCTAGCCCATTGACTCAACTCTCTACTACCAAGATAATATGGACCCATCCCTCCACAGAATGGAAAAGAGGTAGGTATGTAGACATAGCATGTTGAGGAACAATGACTGCTGTCTCTCTGCCCATTGTAGGAGGAACCTGGGAAAAGCGAAATCCCAGGCTTTCAGTCGAGGTCTCTGGGGAGTAGCGCACAGAGCTTGCTCCAGGCTTCCCAAGTCCGCACAGCCGTAGGGGCAAGACTCTGAGAAAGAGAAGCCTAATCCATACCAAGGGAAGGTGATTGGACTAGGTGCTTGATGAATGTTTGGGAGCTAATTTAGTTCCAGATCTAGCTCGAACCTCAGAGAAGACGAGGGTTGACTAGGTTGAAAGAGCATCGTCTGAGGCCAGCCAGTGCCATGACATCTTTATTAGTCAAACAATGTACTCCCTTAAAATGAACCTGTTAAATAGGAGGTTTTACTCCAGCACTATAGCAAGCAATGAGGCTTAACTGACCTATGCTGAAAAGCAATGTTGTAAGGCATGATTATATTAAAAACCAATATTGTAAAATCGTACCTGACTCTCCCCACCATAAAACATCTTACCCAATGTTTTAACAATAGATCCACTAAAAATCAACTCGAGGTTTACTTGTAATCCTATAGTATGGAGGAAGAAACCATGGGGGCAGACACTTGCTCTGAAGGGGAGCACACAGGATTGCTCAGGGTCTAGCATGTCTGGGGCAGGGCAGTGCTTTCCCAAAGAGGTTTCTAAGCACAGGAGCTCATGCTTTGCTGTTTCTCCATCAGAGCAGGGGTGTGGATTTGGAAGACTGGTTCCTCTGCTCTACTTAGCATGGGGATGGTGACAAGACCCAGGAGTTGGTACTAGGGTAAGGGCGGGGTGGGCAAGAACAGCAGCAACAAGACAGACAGTGGACTTCCCCAGTTTCTTCAAAGACATGCCTGACTTCCTGCTCCGATTTGACGGTTAAGCTTCATAGAGAAGATGTACAGTCTGAGACACGCAGGGAACATTTTCCCGGATATTAGGAGACGCCAGCGGTGGGCTGGTCTCACTCCAGAGTTCCCAGTATGGTTCTTCTCACCTCGTCCACTGTCCACCTGGCCACTTGGCTGGCTTGGATATCAGCCACACCTGGAAGCAGCTTGCAGTGCTGCTCCCAGCCCAGGGGGAGGTCTCGGAAAGGGTGAGCTGACATGGACGTCATAAAGACCGACCGGTGAAGCACTCGCTGTGCCTGTTCAGCTGAGTATTCTGAAAGAGAGAGGAACGTGGAGTGAGCGGAGCACAGACGCTGCAGGTCGGGGCGGCTGTCATCTCTTCGGAGGAGGGCCTTTGGTTGATGGGCAAGATGCACACCCAGTCAACACTGTTAGAAAGCCAGTTAACTAATTTAGGCCAGGAGACATGTAAAACTCATCGTGGAAGGCCTAGTCTTGTCTGATCATTAGCCAAGTCTAGATACTCTCTGTGAGGTTCTGCTGGATGGCAGGTGAAGTGCTAGGTTATCCCTGGCTTTCTTTCCTCTTTCTACATCAAGAGTCAGATGAGCTATGGAGCCACAAAGAATGTGAATATTGAGCAGACAGGCATGCTGAACCATCTGGGATCTATGTGTACACAAAGAGCAGTTTCCTCCTAGAAGCCACTTTCTATACCAATAAAGACAGAACAAGCCCAGGTTCACATCTGTCTCCCTAAATTCCCCTGTGATGCTGAATAAAATATAAGAAGGTTCCCATGATAAGGTGTGTGGCATCAGCTGATGCTGTAGAGTCCAGGCAATACATAGTGACCTCACATGGAGCGACGTTGAGGCAGGGCCTTCAGGGAGAAAAGCCTCAGCTAAAATGTGACTCTCAGTTCAGAATTCTTAAGTGGTACATACCTTCTTTATTAAGCAGAAACTCCGAATGGCTCCCCATTCTAAGGCATGAGAGACAGTGGCTGCAGCTTGTCCAAGACTGGCTGCTCTCACCACAATGAGTCCCCATCAAATCTGGAGGCTCTTCAGCCTCGCTCATAAATACTGCCACACTAGTGAGATCTCCTTTCAGAACGTCAGTCAGGTCTGATAGGACAGGCATGTAATCCTAGCATTAGGGCGTGAATGGGGGCAGAAGCATTTTGTTCGGGGCCAATGTCAGCTCCATAGCATGTTCCTGGCTGGCCTCAGACTCTCTCAAACCACAGAATAAAGCATCTTTACTCTTGCGTTCTATTCCAACAGTTAAGATGGAGCCTGGAGCAGGGGAGGTGCTTAGGGGGCGAGGGAGATACAGTAGCACAGTCGGTAAAGCCTCGTAACAAGAGGACCTGAGTTTGATTTCCAGACCCATGTGAAAGAGCTGGGCATGGTGGCATGTGTTTGCGATCACAGTGCTGGGAAGTGGGGGCAGGAGATCCTGGGGCTCATGGCTCAACCAGTCTAGGACAAATGATGAGCTCATATCTCAAAGCACCAGAGATCCTATCTCAAAGGAGGCAGACAGTATTTGAAGATGACACTTGAGGTTGTTGTCTTATCTCCATGTACACACACTCATGTGTGCATGTGCGTACACACATACATACACACACACACACACACACACACACACACACACACACACACACACAGAATGCCTATCACCACACACATTTACATACACACATGCCCATGCACCTGTATATACAAGAACAGACACACAGACACATGAACACATACAATGTGCACCACAAGAGCACACACATGAACATGCACAGACACATGCACACCCACACATACATGAACAAACACACATATAATGAAAGTGAAGGTCTGATGACACTGCCTTGGATCTCCAAACAGATAAGGAGCAAAAACAATAGAGATGTCTGCACAAATCTCTGCTTCTATCGTGACATCCTTGAAGACATTTTCAGTTCACATTAGCTAACTGAAATCTGCTGAGACTTTACAAGACAGATCACAATGGAAATGTTTCTCGCCTTCTAAACGCCTCCTTTTCCAAAGCAAGAGGCAGCTTAAGCTGAAGTAGCCAACAACTGAGAGACTACCAGTGTGGTTTACGTCTTATGTTTTGTTAAGAATCTGGAAAACTATTGTGCAAATATTCCCATCTCTTTATTACAGTTTTTAGTGTAAGGGGCTGACATGTACTTTACATGGTCAGTCACATACCTGTTTAGAATCAGGAAGGCTCTAAGGGTGAGCAAGCTGTCCATCACCGGGCTTTTCTATATGGTGCTACTCTTCTGGATTAGAGCAGACATCCTCATATTTACTAACGCTTGCTGCCTGCCCAGATAAAAAGACAGCAAAATTGCAGGCTTCTTCCTAATTCTTATGCTCCAGTTGCAACCAGTGGCAAATTCATCTCTGCCGATTGTCCAAGCTGACCTTTTTAGTATGTAAATAGGTTATCATCTCTCTCCATGTAGTTCAGCCAACAGTATGTTAGGCTGCAGGTTCTGACGGGAGAATTCTCATCTTCTTGGAAAGGCCAGTATGTTGACAAATGGGAGTTTTCTTTAATGAAGTTGTCTGGTGGTACAAGACCATGTACAAAAGAAGGCCCCGAAGTCATGGCATTATGTGCCAGTGTGTAGTTGTAGCAAGGCCGACATCATAGACCAAGAGTTAAAGCTCCATATTTGGGCCTAAGACAAGAGCCAAAGACCAAACACAAGCTTTTTTCCCCCCTAGAAAGCAGAATTGGTTGTCTTGCTGAAAAGAATTGACTTAAAAATAAACACAGATGTATTGCAAATGTATGTGGATCTTATTATTCATTAACTGAGTAAATCAATCAAGTACCATTTCTGATATATAGAAGACTCTGAAAAGACACAGTGAATCATATGTTTTGAAGGTACAATGTTTGTGTTTCACAAATAAATACGGAAGGCAGTAAGAATGGAAAAGAATCTGTGCATTTCCAAGAAAGAATATTTTTGAACAGCTCAGCTTTGGAAGTGGCTGTGTATTTGGAGTGCTGAGGCTTACTCTTGGAAGCACACCTAACGTGTGGCTGACGGTACGTGAACAGCACTGGGGTTTCTCAGCCCACTGGTGGCTGTTGTCGGGTTGGTTGTGGGCTCTGGAAGGTGGGGGAGAGTAACTCCCATCCACTTAAGGAGAAAGATGGCCTTGAGTTAAAAAGGTGGAGGGTGCCAGCTCTACACGGTACACTTGATGTTATCTACTGATTGTGAATAAAGTGGTATACCTGTATCAAACCAAGGGACTCATCTGAAGATGAGTGAAATGTGTGTTACTGGAAATTGAGAAGAACAAAATTTAATTTGGAAGTTCATGAAAGCTGTGGGAATGACGTGAGATGCCAGAGAAGGTCCTAACACGGATAGGAGAGAAAGACCTACAGCAACCTGTGGGGCAGACAGTCCCTACCCAGAGTCCAGAATTTCCACCGGGATAGGGGTGTGTTTATTGATTTACAACCTTCCGTTCTGAGGAATGTTTGCCAAATGCAGCATTTTCCCCTCTCACTACTGTCGATTCCATCGTGATTTGAGTTTTTCATTTTTACTAACTCCTATGCATCCAGTTTCTTCATACTTAAAATGGGGTAATAATAGAATTATATCCCTTTGAACTTTTGTGACTAGACCAGCTCCAGGTACGGAATGAGTGCTCAAATAAGATATACAGGCTTTTATAGCGGCAATAGTGAATATGAAGACATATAACATTCCCAATGCCAGTCTGGCTCGGTTTTAATCCTCTGAAGGCTGAAATCCAGACACATTCAGAACCTTGAGGCCTGTGTTTAGATTTCACATCTATGTGATCCTGGGAATGGCAGTGTGGTGGTCACCAATATGGAATGAAACAGGGCGGTAGTTGCTGTCAAGTTAGGATGGGACATTTGTTCCCCAGGCAAATGGGAAAGGATTCATGGCAACCACCTTGACACTGCTAAAATGCACTTAGCCTAGGGGGTTGGGGATTATGTGACTCTTCAAACTAGGGTGATTTGCATTATTTTAAATTATGTGCATAAAGTTAAACTTTTGAAAAAATCCACTTAAAATTTGTATGCATATTCAAGATGTGAACATATTGATTTTAACTTTCTCTTAAGCCCAGTATAACTCATCTCATAAAAGATACTCCAAGGCCGGGCGGTGGTGGCGCACGCCTTTAATCCCAGCACTCGGGAGGCAGAGCCAGGCGGATCTCTGTGAGTTCGAGGCCAGCCTGGGCTACCAAGTGAGTTCCAGGAAAGGCGCAAAGCTACACAGAGAAACCCTGTCTCGAAAAACCAAAAAAAAAAAAAAAAAAAAAAAAAAAAAAAAAAAAAAAAAGATACTCCATATATATCCCACAGTGCTTTAAAGATCATAAGGCATTATTGGAAATATGAACAGTCATGCTGCATATAACTATGCTTCTGTCATTAATGGGCCATATAGATCACCATGGTCACACAAGAATATCGTGGAGCTGAAAAGTTCCTATTGCCTATTATTTTTATTATGCCTTTTGTACGGTTAGTTAGTAAATACTGCTGTGTTACCATTGCATATAATATTTTATACAGTTTACATGTATAGCCTAGAGTAAATCAGGTCACACCACACAGCTTAGATGTATAGCCAGTTCATCTAGGAAAGTGTAAGTACACTCTGTGATGGGTACACAATGACAAGATCACTGACCTGTGCAGCTTGCAGAATTTATCTGTTATTAATCGGCACATGAAAGCACTGTTCCCAGAAGTCATCCTCCTCAACCCCAAAGCAGCTGATCATTCTGTCTAAAGGCACTTTGGGCATTTACCATGAAGAGAGCAGAAAGGTTCATTTGCCTGCTTTATCCAAGGGGTCGGGCATCCCAGCTGTTTCCACCCATCAGGGCTGAGATCCGGGCTGCTTCCCAGTTACAAGGTCTCACTGCAGCAGCCACTCCTACCCAGCCCCCGGGAGAAGTCAGCCAAGGAAATTCTGCCTGCAAAAGCAGCCTCCTGCGGGAGGTCTCAGCATCCTAATTAATCAAAATGTCCCCTGTCCCAGAAACTGAAACGCATGTGTAATCCTGGCTTTGCCTTTGACACCAGCCTGAAAGAGACAATAATCAAAACTACCTCTGCATTTAGAATACTTTCTCCTTTCAGAAAACACAGGACATAATCTCCTCCGTTGCCTCAGTCAGTTGCCATTTGTAGAAAAATTTGGAAAAATCTCTAGCTTCCCTTCCTTTTTTCAAACTGGCACTTACAATTTAGAAAATATAACCATGTGTTTAATGG